CCAGTCCAGCTCGTCCCTGCCTCCCTAACCTGTTCTTCCTCCCACCTCAAGCCGCACCTCCATCTCCTACCGACCAACCTCATCCCGCCTCCTTGACCTGTCCGTCCTCCCTGGACTGACCTATCCCCTTCCTAATTCCCTACCTACACTCACCTTTACTGGCTCCATCCCCGCCTCTTCGACCTGTTTGTTTCCCCTCCACCTATCCTCTCCTCTATCCCTCTTCTATCCGCCTCCCACTCTCTCCCTATTTATTTCAAAACCCCCTTCCCCTCCCCCTTTTCTGATGAAGGGTGTAGGCCCGAAACGTCAGCCTCTCTGCTCCTATGATGCTGCTTGGCCTGCTGTGTTCATCCAGCTGTGCATCTTGTTGTCTCGAATTACTCATATGTTGCTTCTATTGCACACTGATAAAAATGTTTGCTGGATTGATACCATCTATTTGCTTTGGGCAGTCAGCCCATCTTCAGAAGGATAGTTGGTTCTTTGGGAATATATCTCTAAAATATTAATGGGTCTTGGTAGAGGTGTCATTATTTGCAGAGGGTTCCTGAACTCATGTCAATATTTGTGGAGATTTGAGAAAAGAGCCAATTGAGCACTCAAAATGAGCTGAATTGTTTGTCAAAACAAATACTAGATGTACCAGTGAATGGAAAATGTTTGTATTTAGGTTATTTTGCAGTCAGGAGTCAGAAGTACAAGATGAAGTACCTGAGAGAAAGGAAAAACCCATCTGTAATCTCAGCCATTTGTTAACCCTTGTTAACTTCTATCAGGAGAGTGAGGTAAGATTAATGTTTGTGATACGTTACAATATTAAATATTGACCATTCACGTTAGGTCTGGCACAATGTAAGTAATTTGTTATGATCCCAACTGATAGTAATGCTAAATAAGTTGGATTCCAGAATGAAAGCTCGCTTGATAGATGATTGTAAAGTATATATCTGGTTCAGTTGTTCCCTTTTAGGAAAGGAAGTCTGCTTTGGCTACCTGGCCCAGCTCAGATATGATTCCAGAACCATACCAATGTGGCCAACTCTTAATTGCCGTTTGGAATGGCCTTGCAAGCTATCCAGTTCAAGGGCAACTAGAAACAGGCAACAAATGTGCAGCATTTCCGCACTGTACGAAAGAATAAAGAAAGAAATATTTGAACATTAATGTTATTCAAAGATTGATTATTTTATTAAACTATGACAACCAATAAAAACTTGCTTTTATGTGGCACAGAGGGTGGTGGATGCCTGGAACTTGCTGCCGGGGGAGGTAGTGGAAGCAGATACGATAGTGACTTTTAAAGGGTGTCTTGACAAATACATGAATAGGATGGGAATAAAGGGATACGGTCCCCAGAAGGGTAGGGGGTTTTAGTTGTGATGGGCAGCATATCGGTGCAATCTTGGAGGGCCGAAGGGCCTGTTCCTGTGCTGTAATTTTCTTTCTTTTTTTTATTAACAAATTAAAGCATTCATGGGAGCATAATCGTTGATTGTGTCATATAAGTAATTATAGGTTAAAATTGAGGGATATTTTTAAGTGAGAAAGAATGAGGAAGGTGAAAATGGAGGAGAGTTTGGTGAATGAAATCCAGAGCCCAGGACACAAATACTGAAGGCATGGCTGCTGATGGTGAACTAATGACAACTGCAGATACAATAAAAAGGCCAGGTTAGAGGAGTGCAGGTGGAGTTATTGAGTCATACAGCACAGAAACCAAACCCTTTAGTCGAACTTGTCCATGCCGACCAGACATCCCAATCTGACCTTGTCCACTTGCCAGTATTTGGCCCACATCCCTCTCAACCTTTCCTTTTCATGTACCCATCCAGATGCCTTTTAAATGATGTAATTGTTACCAGCCTTCACCACTTCCTCTGGCAGTTCATTCCATATGCACACGACGCTCTGCGTGAAAACGTTACCCTTCAGGTCCTTTTTTAAATTTTTCCCCTCTCTCCTTTAAACCTATGCCCTCTATTTTTGGACTCCCCTACTCTGGGGAATGTGAGTTGTGTGGCTAGGGGAAGTTACAGATATTGGGAGGGGGAAGCCACTGAGAGTTTTGTGAACAAGGTGAAACTTGAAACGTTTGATGGGGAACCTGTGTAGGTCGGTGAACACGGGTGTGATGAGTGATGTTGTGGTTATGAGCAGCAAAGGTTTGGAGGACTTCACCTACACATGGGATGGAAGAAGGGAGGCTGGCCTGGAGTAATCTGCCTGACACTATGTCTGCAATACACCAGTCCGTACGATTACACTCAAATACAACTTAACTACTTCTGAATTTCAGTTTGCCTTGAAAGTTCCTTGTCCTATGGCAGTGAATTCATGATTTTCCAATATTGGTGGAAATCCTTGTTTGCCAAGAATGATAATTGGAGATTACAGACATGTGCTATGCATGTGGCCTATATTCAAATTTCCAGTTTCAGTGGGGCATTTGCACAATTGTTCTTACACACTTGTTACATTGAGCTCTTGATTCAGCACTCAACAGTATTAAACAGCAGTTTGCTGAAACACAGACCACTGACGTGGATGTATTTGTCAGTGAATCTGAATACGCAGACCATTATGCAATCATTTTAAGAAAGGATAATTTCTCATCAGAATTTTTAATAATTGCTATTATTATTGTAGAACAGTGCTCAACTTCAATGTAGATTTTTTTTGTAGTAATGTTCACAGTGTTAAGAGTTTCTCCAGGTGATTCGCAGGGGCATTGTCAAACAAAACTTAACACTGAGACATGTAAAAGGCTGTTAGGACAGATGATCAAATGTTTGGTCAAATAAACAATGGGGAAAACCAGAGGTGTAGAAAGATTACAGCACAGAGGGGGCCATTTGGCCCATCATATCTATCACAGTTCAGTGCAAGAGCATTTTGTCCCACTTCTGGACCCTTTCCCTGTAGAGCTGCAATCTTTTTCTCTTCAGATCATAATCCAGTTCTCTTTTGAAGGACTCAATTAAATCTGTTTGCACCACACATTCCATATCCTAAAGCCTCGCTTTGGCAAAGGGTTTCTCCTCATGTCACCTTTGCTCCTTTTACCAATTACCTTAAAGTGATGCCCTTTGGTTCCTAACCCTTCTAACAATGGGTCTTCAGTTTCACTGTAACTGCTTTGTCCAGATTCCTCACGAATTGGAGTTCCTGTATCAAATCTCCTGTTAACCTTTACTTCTTCAAGGAGAACAATGTGAGGGGAGAAGGGTGATGGAGAGACAAAGAGATATAATGAAGGAATTCCAGAGTGCAGAGGCAAGGCAGCTGAAGGCACAGCTATCTATGATGGAGTGATTAAAAATCAAGCTAAATCAGCGAAAACTGGGCAATTGCACATTGAAGTTTAATACTTGCACCTTGTCCCCTTTAGGGGAATGCACAGTCGGCCTATCTTGTTGACAGTCTCTGGGATTGTTCGGCATTCATCCTGAAAGACTGGGAGTCCATGACGGCTTTATTACTGGAAGATGAAGACTCTGGAAAGGAAAGTAAGCAAATTGGTGGAGGCCTTGAGACTGGAATCCCTGCTGTCAGTGCAAGGTGTTTGCATTCACAAAGTTGTCCTCTTTTCCAGCTTTGACCAGCTCACAGAAAAAAGCACTGGTTGAAATTATGTTGAGCACCATACGACAGGCTGCAGAAGGCCATCCGCCTGGAGGTCGATGTTTAGGAAAGAAGGTTAGTCTGTTATTGATAAATTTCCTAGTTTTATTGCCATCTGGGAGCATGTGGGCATATGGTACGCAATGTACAATGTGGCACTCAGCATGAATATGGGAAATACCTGGCAACAAAGACGAATATCCTTTGAGCGTTCTATTAGTGCATGATGCAGTGATAATGGAGCTGTTGCAATCAATCTCTATCCTCTCATGAAACCTCTTATTATTCTTGAATGCTGAGGTTTGACCCAAAATGTCACCAAAGGTTTAGCTGACTGATTGGTTTCCTACTAAGACAAATTTTTGATTTAATACTTTTGCACTGGGATTGTGAAGAGCAGGCATCTAGTCAAAGTAAATTTACAAATTTGAGTGTCCAGTGTGGAGCTTTGCCAGTTCAGGAGTGTAAGTTAAGAATCCAGATGCTTGAACATGGCACTTAGGAGTAGGAGTAGGCCATTCTGAAGAAGTGTCACTGAACTCAAAACATTAATTGTTTTTCTCTCTCCACAGATGCTGCCAGACTTGCTGAAATTTTCCAGCAATTTCTGTTCTTGTTTCTGATTACCAGCATTGCAGTTTTTTGGGTTTTTATCATTTTGTATAGATCAAGTTTGACCTGGTTGTGGTCTCATCTCCAATTTCCTGTTTTCACTCCCATGACCCTTGACCCTTGACTCCTGTGTCAATCAAAAATTGGTCTTGGTCGGCTGTGAATAAATGTAAAGATTTAGTCTCCACCACCTTCTGGGAAACAGTTTAAACATTGTTGGATGAATATGTTAAGATTATCTTGGTTTTGCTGTGGGGCATCAGTGTGATATTGTAGAGTGCAATATCTGTTGTTTGGAATTTAATACTGATGTCTATCATGCTGATGCTTATATAATCACATATTGACCTTTGTAGCTTTTAAAGCATCTAAATACATTTTTTGGGTTCTAATCGGTCTTTTCTCCCATTCCTTACCATCATAGAATTGCACAGAAGGAGTTCATTGGGTCATTATATCTGTACTTGCTTTGTGAATAAACGTTGTGACTCAGTGCCATTCTCCGGGCTTGCCCCATAACCCTGCATGTTGTTTCTATTCAAATAACAAGCTAGTGCCCTCATGAATGCCTCAGTGGAATGTATCTCTGGCACACTTTAAGGCAGAGCATTCCAGGCCCTGAGGAAGGGTCACCGGGACCCAAAACATTAACTCTGTTTTCTCCTTCACAGATGCTGCCAGACCTGCTGAACTTTTCCAGCAACTTTGTTTTTGTTCCGAGGATACTGTATGCTGTATTAACTATACATCAGCTTCTTTCCCTCAGGCTTCTTCCTTCTCTTGCTGTCACTGAAAATAGGAAAAACAGCTCAGCAAAAAGGAATAATTATTCCTGAAAAAATGCTGGGATGTCTGTGAGGGGTGGATTGAGTTGTAATAGTAAGCAAGACCCATGAGGTAGCAGGGTGCTAGTACCCAGATAGGTAATATATTGACATGGATAGAGAACTGGCTCAGGTTAGCAACTCATGACCAGTAAAGTCCCACAGGAATCAGTGCTGGGACCACAACTTTATTAACGGAAGAAGGAAATGAATGTACTGCAGTCAAATTTGCAGGGGACATAAAAAATAGGTGGAATGGCAAGTTGCGAGAGGGATAGAAACAGTTTACAGAGAGCGATCGACAGGTTAAGTACGTGGGCAAGAAGTTGGCAAATGAAGTACGATTTGGGAAAATGTGAGGTTGTTCATTTTGGTAGGGAGAACAATAGAACAGGGTATTATTCAAATAGAGGAAAACTACAGAAAGTTGCGACACTAAAGGACTTGTGAGTACTTGTGCATGAAACACAGGTGCATCAGGTAATCAGGAAGGCTAATGGAATGTTTGGTCCTTATTTCAAGGGAGTTGGAGTATAACAGCAGGGGAGTTACTGCAACTGTACAAGGTACTCTGGAGTACTCTGAGCAGTTTTGGTCTCCTTATTTAAGAAAGATATTATTTCATTGGAGGCAGTTCAGAGAAGGTATGGAAGGATTGTATTGTGAGCAAAGGCTAAACAGGCTGGCACTCTACCAGAGTTTATAAGAATGAGAAGTGATCTGAACAAAACTTATTGGACTCTAATTGGGCTTGACAAGGTAAATGCTAAGAAGATGTTTCCCCTCATGGGAGAGAATAGGACCAGGGGGCATAGTCTCAGAATAAAGGGGTGCCAATTTAACACTAACATGTGGAGGACTGTCTTCTCTGAGAGGGTTGTTAGTCTTCGGAATTCCTTGCCATGGAGAACTGTGGGGGCAGAGTCCTTGTGTATATTTAAGGCTGAGATAGATTCTTGATCAGTAGGAGAATCAAGGGTAATGGGGAAAATGCAGAAAAGTGGACATAAGGAATGGTGATCAGCCATGATCCTATTGAATGGCGAAGGAAGCTCGAAAGGCCAAGTGATGGACACTTGTTCTTATTTCTTATGGTCTTATGGGTGCAGATTGCTTCTGAGACTTCCAATACTTTGTCAGTTGGTGAGCAGAATCCAGATGCTTTTCAATAATGACGGTCCTTTGGTTGCCCCCATATGGCCTGTGTGTTACAGACTGTATCCTAATGAATAGGATAGACTGAATTGGCTGGGTCGTCTTCTGTAGAGCAGTCACTGAAGGAAAGTCTTTAATTATGAAGGGGTTTTGAAACAGCAGCTGTATATATCAAAAATATAAGATAGCTGCTACTGAATCTAGAAGAAAAATGAAGAGAAACCTCTAAATCCAGCAAGTGGTTAAAATGTGGAACATGTTGTTGGAAGGAATAGTTGAAGCGAATTGTATCGGTGGGTTTAATTGGGAGCTGGATAAGCACATGAGAGAGAAAGGAATCGAGGAGTATGTTGGTAAGTTTAAATGAAGTAAAGTGGGTGCAGACTCTCTAGAGCATAAATGAATGGGCTGAATGGCCTGTTGTTGTAAATTCTATGCAATGTTGAAAGATTGTTGGTTTTTAGACATTAAAAATGATTTCATCTTTAGGTACAACTGGGTATGTTTTTCTACGTTTATCCATGTGGGGCCCAATGATATATTGCCTTGTACAATGAATTGTGATGATACTATGGCTTTAAGAGGTGTATTTTATCCTTTTCTTATGAAGAAGTTTGAGACAGAGGTACCGGACGGTCTGTTCGATCCAATAAAGTAAACAGCTTGTGAGACCTTGGGGTTCTTTTTCAAGTTGGAACAATAGAAGCAGCTGAATGGGTGGGGTTAAGCTCCCACTGAATCGGGATTTTTAGTTTTAGCTTTCTGCAGTTGCTGGAGCCTTGAAGCTGGATGTGGAGGCTCTTATTCTTCTCGCTGTTACAGCTAATAGCTGGGGTTCTCTTCCTACTGCTAGAATTGCATGTGAGAGAATCTATTTTACTGAGTTTGTTTTTGCCAAGTGTGTGTTTATGGGATATTACTATATTGGAACAGTTAATTAGTAATAGTTAATATATATTCTATTTTGTTAAGCATTTCGATAGAGTTACAGTCAAGTCAATTCTTTTATTTTTATTTTGTCTGCATTTTGAGTGGTGTAAAAGTAAAGTGTGTTTTGCTTGAGTAGTTTGACAAATTGAATTGCATTTGGAAAGCAACATCTTACACCTTTAAAATAAAAAAAAGTTAGGATGTAAGCTATCTTAATATATTTTGAGAAGGTTTGGTCTGTTTAATACAAGAATGTACTGTAGTAAGTGAGTGATATGACATTGTTGATCATATGCATGACAATATAGTTGCCAAGCCATTTTGGAAGAATGTAATAATGTAACAGAGGCTGAAACCAAAATACAACAGGAAAAAAAACTTTAAAAAGGATTGTACCTCTTTAAAAAATTCCAATGTAAGGGATGATCCAAGGCTGTACTAAAATTACCGGTTTTTTTTTGTATAGTGGAGAAATTGTCGATGCTTCTGTTGTCTTCACTCATGCTTGCAGGACTAGTTTCAATTTACAGATGAATTGGTGGCCTGGCAGTGAAACAATATTAAATCTCCAAAGAATATGGTAGAAGGCTACCTTTTCTGACAAATTTTAGTAAAACACTTATTAATTGGAAAGACTAGAAGATAAGAAAAACAGTACATATGGTTACAATTTGAACAGATGTGAGGGTATAACATTGCTAAGTGGTGAGAATTTGGAAGCTGTTGCCTGAAGGAAGTGGTTGAAAAAGATAAAGGAAAGCTAAGCAAGCAGAGGATGGAGAACGGAACAGATGTTTAAAATGGCAGATTTAGATGGGAAAGATAAGAGGAGGATTAAGTGGAGCATGAACAGTGCAGGGATTTGTGTTTCTATGCACTATGTCCTGTGTAATCCTACGTGATGCTACATAATTTATACTCCTATCGCTACTTCTATTCCTTCAACCTATCTGCCAATGCACATCTATTTCTCACTCACTGATACTGCTGCTGTGAAACTGTAGGTATTTATGACAATCTCTTGTCAGTGGATCCATAGCACAAGCCTATTCATCCTGCTGCCCCACTCCATCTCCTTATCTAAATCTCTGATCTCTTCCCAGGGATGGTTAATGAGGCAAAAACCGAAAGAACTGGGGATGCTGTAAATCAGGAACAAAAACAGAAGTAGGTGGAAAAGCTCAGCAGGTCTGGCAGCATCTGTGAAGAAAAAAATCAGAGTTAA